ACCCCAGGTACCAAGGTCAAAGAATCATGAAGTCGAGAGATCATCGTCGATGGTTAATTTCGGTCTTTCATGGTCACGTGTTCGGTCACAAGGTCGTCCCTGGTCACGTGTTTGGTCACAAGGTCGTCCCTGGTCACGTGTTCGGTCACACGTGTATCTTGTCTGTTATGTCAAGGTCAGTTGAAAATATTCTCGAACCTGAGATGACCCGCAAGAAATTTTCTGAAATAGACACAAATTTTAAATGAATATATATATATATATATTAGGGATGCACCGAAGTTCGGCCCCGGCTCCGGCCAAAATCCGGCTTTTTTTTCAAATCCGGTCGAATCCGGCCCCGGCCGGATTTGGTGGCTGGATTTAGGGCCGGATTTAAGCGTCTATCAACTTTTAAAAATGTTAGAAATAGAAAAAATTTTTATTGAATTCAATTAATTTTATGTCAATAAGTTAATGGCTAAGGCTAAGCTAAAGGCATACATGAAACATAATAACAACATCACTAATTGTGAGGTGATCTGGACAATTTTCTTTATGCTATAACATGGGTTATGCATAAATTATAGGCTGATCTTTGTGTAAAAGAACTTGTGCACGTGTATATACTATATATTGATAATTGCACATGACGGATCATATAGCTACATAATATATATATATATAAAGATATATATATATATAAAGATATATATATATATATATAAAGATATATATCTATATATCTATATATATTTAGAGAGAGAGAGAGAGAGAGAGAGATACATAAGCACATTATTTAAGAACATGGTATGTTAAAGGTTAGGTATACATGACAAATAATTACAACATCACTAACTGTGCGGTGAGCTGGACAATTTTCTTTGTGCTTTGACTTGGGTTATGCAAATATGCATAAATTATAAGCTGATCTTTGTGTACAGAATTTGGCGTATCACACAACTAATTCATATATTTGAATTAAAAAACTATTTGCTTGGTGTTATTTTTTGATGTTCAACATGTAGATAACCGTAAATGTGAGTATTTTTTCTAGCGTATGTAAAATGTTAACTAAAATCCGGCCCCGGCTCCGGCCGGTTTTTGAATTTCAAATCCGGCCAAGTCCGGCCCCGGCCGGATTTGAAAAACCTGAATCTGGTGCATCCCTAATATATATATATATATATATATATATATATATATATATATATATATATATATATATATATATATATATATATATATATATATATATATGAAAATATATATAAGA